GACGTTTAACATTTTATTATTCTTTACTCACAGACAAAACTTGTAGGCAAATCATACACTGAATTTCATTATTATTGTTACACATAAGATGTAGATGTTGAGATTAAAATGTGTGTCGCCGGCCACATGAAAACAAGTCGAGGGGCGGCATGCAGCCCGCGGGCCTTTCTTTCGACAGGCCTGACTTATAATACTACACTGTCAAGGAAGTACCGGGAAAAAATCAATAACACCTACACAAAATATCTGTTATTCATCCAAATTTATTTTATCACCTTCAAAGGATGCTCCTTTGGAAACGATACACTTGCGCCAACGAATAATCCATTCATCAAAACATTTTTTAAACGCTGCCTCCGGAATTGAGTTCAGTTCTCGTCGCGAATTCTCCTTTATGTCTTCTATCGGTGCGGGTAAACGGGTGCCACGAAGTGTTAATTTGAGTTTAGGAAAAAGAAAAAAGTCAGCAGGAGCCATATCTGGTGAATATGGTGGTTGCTGGATGGTATTTGTTGAGTGATTAGTCAAAAATTCGTTCACAATGATAGCCTTCTGCGAAGGCGCATAGTCGTGGTGCAAAATCTAAGAATTTTCTTTCCAAAAATCTGGCGTTTTTGCTCTCTTAAACGCCGCAAACGCTCAAATAATATTCTTTATTATATATAATATTATTTTATATAATATTTATATTAATATTATTTTTTTAGCGTTAGATTTTCGGTAAGAATTCAGAGTACACAACACCGCGATAGTCAAAGAAAACAGTCAACATGACTTTGACTTTTGGTTTCGGTTAAGTTGGATGGCGCCACTCTGAAGCTTACATAGTTTGCATGTTGAACTCGTAAGTAACAATGCGTTTCATGAATTTTGGGTCCGAAATGACTCGTCCTAGCATATCCTCAGCGACTTTCATGCGATTGAGTTTTTGGACAAAATTCAGATATTTTGGGACTAGCCGAGCAGCAACATGTTTCATACCCAAATGATTAGTTAAAATGGTACGGATCGACTCGTGAGATACAGAAAGTTCGGCGACTATTTCTCTCAGAGTTCAATGGGGATTTTCAGTCACTATTTTCTACACTTTTGCGACGTTAACTTCAGTTGCAGACGTTGACGGCCTACCAGAGCGAGGCAAATCTTCCATCACATCTCGACCGCTTTTGAAAGCTTTGAACTACTCATAAGCACAAGTTTTTGATAAAGTCAATTCACCGTAACCCTTCTGTAATAGTAGGGGAGCCCATGATGCTAAATTGGGATTTACTTGAGCGTCCTTGGGACCTACTGGATTTTGAAGATATGCTGAATGCTGATAGAAAGAAGAAATGGTTTAGTGACAATTTCTTCCACCAGTGGGGGAAGGGGGGAATCTACAGATCTTTGAAATTGTTAAGCGTAACTTTTGTTCTAGTGGTCGAGCGTGTCAGATATTGATAATGTACATGCTCCATGTGTATTTAATAATAAAGAACTCTTAATCTGCCAGTTTGCATGGTGGGGTTGAATGTTCTGGAGAGTAAAACGAGAACCCTTCAAAATCCCCCCACTCTTGCAAATCAAGTTGGAATGGGCAGATTTTTTAAACGCACTTCCTTTAGCATGGTATTGACCTACCTTCCCTTGATCTGACGAAACTGACTTTATTTAGTCAGAGTTTTTTTTTAATTTTCAGTCCCCCCCTTCTAATCAGATCGGATATATATTGGGTATATTCAACATGACACTAGGTTTTCCCCATATGATAATCTGACGCGCTCGAGTAACTACCGAAATCCCTTCATGGGCTCCCCTACTATAACATTTTCAGTGACTCCGAACACGAAATTCCATTGGCGATGGCGATGCAAAATCTAAGACAAACTTTTTGTTCGATATTTTTGTCCTAAGAAATTCGCAATACACACTATATATGATATTACTAAAACCAGCACTGTATCAATACATAGTATAAAACAAAGTCGCTTTCGCTGTATGTCCGTATGTATGCTTAGATCTTTAAAACTACGCAACGGATTTTGATGCGGTTTTTTTTAATAGATAGAGTGATTCTTAAGGAAGGTTTGTATGTATATACATATTGCACCCGTGCGAAGCCGGGGCGGGTCGCTAGTTTAATATAAATAACAGATGCAACTTAAACTCCGCGCCAAAATGGAAAACAGTTGTGTCAATATAATAACTATACTCGGAATTTTAATTCGATTCCAGATTTGACAATTTCAGTGTTGCAACGTTATGAAAAGTACTAAATAGTGACGTTGCGGAAATTATTCGATATGGAAATGCAATATTTATGGATCGATTCTTCTCGTTTATAATTTTACTCTCGTAAACTAAGTTTATCAGGAAATTAAATATATCTGAACCGATAATTTAGTTTTAATAAACGATGTGAGACTTTTCTTTTATAATTGTGTGTGAAATAAATAAAAAAATGTAATCATGAAGGAACATGACAAATAAAACAGATAGATGTATTATGGTAATAAGTTATTTTATAAATTGTCGCCGTCATCGCTATCGCTATCCTGTCACTTTCTGTAACATTTATTATAAAACACACACACTGATTGTTTATCGATTTTTGTGTTCATCACTACACTATTATATGTGGTATCATTATTTTATAAAATGACAGTAGCTATTGTCAAATCTGGAATGTAATTAAAATTCTGACTATACAAAAATTTGAATTTGGAATCATAAACAAATCATCCATTCCCGATACTTTTTTGACTGAATGTATTACACTATCCTTGCAAAATGCATTACCTGATAAAAGTGTACTTAAATGTCCTTCAGGCAATAACATGAATAATGAATGTACTGTCACTGAATATATATATACATGTCGATCAGTTAGTATGAAGAATGTGAATAGTGTGGTGTCGTCAATAGGCGGTATCTCACTAGTAGATGTCGATTAGATAGTGTGCCGCGCGGCGTGGCACTCATTTCCTTACACGCCATACTACTGCTACACTTCACATGCCGACACATACTTACACTGAAAACTTTTTCTACTGCCTAATTACTGGTCTGATTCCCAGTGGACACTGACTGGTCAAATTGATATTATGGCATTTTATTATTATATGAATTCTTAATCAGTAATAGCACAACAAGGAGTTTCTGGAAATAATCGAGCCTCTGGTAATATATAAATAGACATAAAAAGGAAGAGCCTTCATATTGGTCGGGTACCTATGTGCTGACCTTTTCCCGTCTAATTAGTGGAGCAATCAGGCGTATGACGGCACCGCGCCGCACCAGCGCATTTTAGCACCTCGGTAAATTGACCCAAAAGCAGTTTGCCACTAACTTTGTACTGTATGCAAGACCACGCGTATGGCCAGCGCCTTGTCATTCATTTGAATTAAACCAAAGAAACATTGTTCTAGTATGTATGTACCAAACCACCGAATGGAGGAAAGCGAGCAAGACACTCATGATAATATTAAGATCTTTTTATTCGGTGCGTATTTTAGTATTTCATTATTATTTATTTAGACAGTAACAGACTTACAAAGCAAACTGTATATTATTACTGGTTGCACGTTGCACTACATTATCATACAATACACATGGCTGTCATGTATTTCCCCTAGCGTTTGATTCGGTATCAAGTGGAAGGATTCATCAAGTGTTTTGTTGTTGCGATTCCAAGGAGCACCAATGTATATAATTAATTAATGTTTAATTACATAATTTACTACATAGGAACTTAATTATTTTTAATTGCTGTGTGACTTTCCTTTCAGTCAGTGTAAGATTGCAGAGGTGCCCATAAGTTAAATTAAAGATGTAAGAGACACAAGTCCATTAATGTCACGGTCGCTGGCCTATTAGTAGCCGCACGAGCGCGTACAAGGCATCTCAAACAATTTGTGATTGTTATGTCGGTCAGTCACAGACTCACAGTTAACTAAACTTGCACTAGCTGAGCGGCGGCGGTGCCCCGCGTGGCCGTGACTTCATTCTCTCCGAGTTTATGAAATTATTTCAGCGCTGCAGTGATTCGCCGTTAATACTTCCCACTCACTAAGCTCTATAACTACATAAATACCTATATCCTTTTAGGTTTTAACGTCGACTACACACGACCAGCTAATGCTTGGGACGCGGCGCGCGGTCGCGGTGACACTACTATTCTCCAAGTGACTCTTACTTACGACATCTTAATGTTATTCATATACATAACTTTATATATTTTATCAGTCATGTTTTTTCAAGTCTCTCTTGTAGGTACTTGTTGGTAAATGTTACGTAAAAACATCCGAGTTGGTTTAATACCTTTTATACCCGAAACTTATTTTTAATATTTATTTCCAATTTTGCCTCGTTTGTCGAGTGGTCGCAAGTGGTCTCGACTACCGGGCAAGGGGTCTCGGGTTCGATTCCCGGGTCGGGCAAAGTATGACTGGGTTTTATCTCAGTAGTAGCACGGAGTCTGGAAATGTGCCCGGTATATAGCAATAGGCTTACCCCCTATTACATGGGACTCGTAACATAAATAGTGAATAGTTGGTGTTACTTCTGTGTACACCTCTGACTACCCCTTCGGGGATAAAAGACGTGATTTCCTATTTTGCAAGTTTTGCAATTCAGCATCTCTTCGGTATAAAATAGTTGCACTACATACATAGGAAATAATGTAGTAGGTACTATTTTGGAATTTGTAGTAGGTACTTATGTACTTACGAGTTTATCTATTAGCGATTGTGTAATACGCATCATAACTGGATGCAGATACCGTAAGTATAAAAAAGCTGGAAGTAGTCTGATATCATCAGCCGTCTAAGCATCTTCAAAAATATGTGAGACTCGGGTTATAAAACCACTGAGCAGCACTCGTTAGCTCGCGACTGATACCACACAACAATGGCTGCCGCCAGACTCTATGGCGCGGGACGGCAGGTGACCGCGAACGCACGTGTTTCTACGATTTGTTCAGGTGATTGGCTGAATGATTGATGAATAAAGCATTTTCTCAGTCTCTCACTGCTGCAGATTTCGCAAATCGTAATACTAATAGTGTACATGTACAAACCTCTCTATTCTTTTCCGTGGCAACCTTCGGCGTGAACAGCAGCTGGTTGACAAAGCCGAGGAACATGAGAATGTACAGACCCAAGTGGGTGAGCGCCGCCGTCAACAACGTGCACTTCTCAAAGGAACCGGGGAATGTGTCGTACTTGGACCAGTCCATCTTTGGCACTCCCCCGCCCGATATACCAAAGTCCTGTAACAGAAACAAAAACAATTGTGATTATGTTAAATATATGAACATAATTAAATACAATACAGTACACATTATATCCATGCAGGCAGAAATAAGAAGTTATTTGAATTACATTTACTGAATTATGAAATTAAACTGTCAAACACCAAGCGGTCACCGGTGACCGCAACCTATTGTTCTATAATTGTGTCTACAAAACCGGTTCGACGAGTTAATAATAAACTATACCTTTCTTATACTACAGTGTGTTTATTAACCTTTAACTACTGACGTGGGTGTCTCATAGACGGCGTGTTCACGAATATAAGAATTTTCCAAAAAACGTCCAAATAATTGGATTGTAGCTAAGATTGTAACATATATTTTTTTAAGTTATGCGAAATATTTATATTTTAAGTTTATAGAATTTGAATCAGAAACCGCTGATTTCATTCGAGAATGTTGTAATTTTTGCACTTTCTTTAATAGAATTATAATGGACCGATCAGAATACAAGTAAATATTGTGCAAATCAATAAATAAAAGTAATCCATTTCGATTATTTATTAAGGTGTTTGACATACGTCACGTCACCGTTTATGGTATGAGTAAACCACGTCAGTACTTGAAGGTTAA